ACAACTGCGGCTAATTGAAAATCTAGTATGCAGAGGTTGAAATAAAATACAAACATACTCTCTAATAGCGAATTCCATAAACTATAAGTATGACTAAAACCCAAAAATCCCCCAAAAATCCAAAAATCCGCTAATTTTTGGTTAATTTTTATCTTTTTTCGTTATTTTCCGTTAATTAACGGAAAATTAACGGAAATTAACCTCTGTCCGCTATTAACGGATCCGGGTGGCCACCTCTATTGCCGGCTATATGGTTCTCCGGTGTCTGGAATAAACTCCAGCACCCTGGAACTCTCTCTTGGTCCCCACTCCGGCAATGCGGGTCTTTGGGGACTCTATTCTAGACCTCTCGACCTGTCCGGACTTTGTCCACATACAGTATGAGCGCTTTCCGTGAGCGACTCTTTGCTACTCTTTTCCGGTTCACTAGGTGTCCTTACATGCACCTATGACCTGACCCGCTGCTCAGGGGTCCTGGCCGTTCGGCCTATGATTTCTCACTGGATCCGAGGTCCGGGCCTTTCGGCCTGTTCTTGAGGCTGTCCGAGTCCTCTGCACTGGCTCACCTGGCGACGGGCTCTTTCGTTTAGCCCGGGGCTTATTGATTGTCTTCTAGTCGCCCTCCACTTTTGGAATCATCGTCATTTATCACCTGTCGGACTGGGGACCCTTTTGGGTTGTTTCGCCTACTGCAAGACTTTCTCCTCCGCCTCACATGCACGCATCTTCTACTTCAGTAGTCGGTCGCTCAATGCGGCCACCTGCTACTCGGCGGATGCCTTGGCTTCATCAGCCTGGCGGCTCTATTCTTTGGCCTTCTTCAACGCGACCTTGTGCTGCCTGGCCTCCTTCTGTACTGTGGCCGCCGCAATTTCCAACTTGGCAATCCTGGCAGCGGCTTCTCTGTCCCGCGTCTCTTGGGCCCATGTAGCCGCAGTCGCCGCCATCTTCTCCAAAAGCTCCATCACTCCTGGTACTTGAAGGAGGGCGGCCATTGTGCCCGGTTCCACCGCCTCCGCTTCAGGGGTCTCCTCTGCCTTGGCCATTGGCTGGTCGTGCTCCTCCGGCTCAGCTTAACCCGACGACGCGCCGGCAGGGTCCTCTCGGACTTTCTCCATCTCTTGGCCCTCTCGGGCTGTGGCTTCCTCACTGGCCGAACTTGCCGGGGTCCCCTCTCGGGGTGTTTCTTCGCCCGTGGATTCGGGCGTGCCCTCTCGGGCTGTGGGGTCCGTTTCCTCAGCCTCCATCAAGGAGGCCGGGGAAGAAGCCCAGTTTTTGGTGCTTGCTCTCGCGCCCAGGCGAAGACGTGGTAGCCACCCACAGGTGGCTCTGAAACCAAATGATACGAAAAGGTTGTGGGTGTAGGGCTCCTGCCCTCTTTGAGCCGCGGACCCGCCTCGCCGGGCACCTAGGTCCTTACGGGGACCTAGGCGGGACCACCCCGTCCTACTCCCGTATCCTAATAATTACTTCCTCTGTCCGGAATTAAATGAACGCGTTTGTTTGACAGGCCAAATTTACATCACACACTTATCCGTTCTTTACCAAAATTTGTGAGCTTCTAATAAAATTACATGCAATGCTCTGACCAAAATTTTAAGTCAAAGCATTGAGTATTGCACAAATGACAATACTCTGAACCCGCAAGTTTGGGGCGGAATGGTTGGAGAATCTCAAGGTCGGGGCGGGCGACCCCAAAAACCGACCCCCGGAGAGGGTGGCTTTGCACTTGACGTTACGCACCAAGAAATGGATAGCTGCTGACACAGTTGAAATAGCAGGTCGGAGCCGTCCCTAAGACGAGGCGAGACGGTGCAACCAGGTTTAAAACCACCCGATCGTCGATCCCTACCGTGGATTTCCCCGTCCAGCCAGATGCCCATCTGGAGATCGGAAATTCGAAAAATCGGCCAAATTCACGATCGAGACTCCTTTCAGAAAACTCCGCCAGCACTCATGGGGTGAGTAAGGCTGGTAAAACCACCGCAAAAAGTTTGGAAGGTTTGCGTTGTCAGCCTTTAGCACACAAGTAGAAAGATAGCCAGAAATGGAGGTGGCGGGTACTCTCTCCATGACGGCCTGTCAGGGCTGTTCACGACACTTTGAAAGACGCCACCGTCCAAGACTTCAGATGCCAGCTACGCAGGATGCTGAAAGAGAATCTGGACAGGCACCAGGGGCCTCCATATGCACATCGTAATGTTTCACCGCCAAAAGATTGGCGGGAATTCATTGCTTTTGACAGGCATGGCTTTGCTCCGGCCATGCCATTGCTATAAGCCGCGACGGATTAGATAGCCTTTAGTGCATGCAACGACAGCAGGGCGGGTCTCAGGATACCTAAGAACGTATTAGCAAGGATGGATCCAACGCACGCCAATGTGTCGTTGCACAAGATGGGTGGAAATCCAGAAATCGGCGATGGTGACAAACAGATACCGGTGTCGTTTCTGCCAAGGCTCCACAACAATGGATGTCGATCGTTGTGCTGGAGCTGGAGTTGCGTATGGTCAACTCTACCTTCATGGTGCTGCGGACTCCATGAGAAAGTATGCGCTCGAGAGTGGGGCGTTCTTGGACACGGAACGCCACTCCCGGCCAGGCCAGCGCGCCAATGCGATGGGTCAAATTATGGTCTGGGAATTGGGCGTCTTTGAGGCCGTGCACAATTTGTTGTATTAATGCGTTCTCCACAAAAATTTGACATCATGTACAAAACTCGTAGGTAGTATTGCAGTCTAATTTTTAACAAAAAAAGATAAGGCTTGACACGATTGCGGCCACTCAATGAAAAGCGTTCATTTAATTCCGGACAGAGGAAGTATAATAGTTGCAATGGGATGAGGAATAGTTATCATATCTTGGGCAAGGCGTCCCCCACACCAAGGGCCATTAGTAAGGCATCCCCTACATCAGGCCGGTGCGCGTAACAGTGACGTTACCAAGACATGGCAAATTCCATGTATAATCCACTCAACGGCTCTTATTAAACGATCCAAATATCTTCTCAGCCTTCACGATCTCTTGGTAGTTTATCTTTAAAGTTGTGCTTCATAGCACAGAAACGGATGAAAGCAAAATCTTCCATGTTGAGTCCCCATTCCCAAAAACATCACAACGATGAGAGGGTAGTTTAACTTTAATGAACCAACGTGCTTGTGTAGAATTGCTTTCCAACCATTTATTATTCATCCGGGCGAAAAAGAATCACTGGCGAAATGTTGAAAGCAATACAGCTGGCTCATGCACGCATACTTGTATAAGGTGGTGCGCAAAAGTGTGCCAATGGCTGTGAGAAATGGAGAATGAAACATTGCAATGGAGGACCACCGTCAAGCACGACACTGACAATATAAACAGTGGGCAAACTATTTGTGATGTCAAAAATACGTCTCATAGTTTAACTATAATTCTTGTTTTGAAAAGAGCTACTTCGCTATCTATTAGGTAGCAACGTAGCTCTTTTCAAAACAACAATCGTTTCTATTCCTAGATCTACAGTATTAGAAAAAAAAACACACACACTTTCGACACATACACACCTGGAGCTGGCTTGCAAGCACTTACCGTATTTACCCGGTATTAGTAGGCATGTATTGAACCTCCAAAATGAGCGATGGATACTAATAGTGGGTCATGTATACTAACGCGTTTTGGACCCCTGATCCCAGAGAGCAGAGAGAGAAAATTTTTGATAAATAGGCTGTGAAATGCGCAGAAATGGACAAGAATGGCAATGCTAGTGCGGAATGTTGTCAGTCTCTTCACAAGAGCTGACGGCCTTGACTTGGGGCTGCATTAGGTGGTGGCGACTGGCGATTGGGGCCACTAGGGGTTTGCTGGAATGCTTGAGGCGTGTTTTCCTCTGCAATGCAAAGAACAAGGATTGCTATGTGTCTCAACTCGTTGGGGTGCAATGTCGCAATAATAAGCTTGAAACGCGGCGCTTTGCGGGGCTGATGGCGGCTGGGAAGGTTGATGTGATTTGTGATTGTGTTTGTGGCCTGGTAGCTAGTACGATGTGCGAGTTGGGGACGGGCCCGGCCTTGGCAGCGCTATGTGGGCAGTTGTGAAAGGCGGGGTCTCACAACGGCAGCTGCCCCAACCAACGCCGTCGCCTACCCATTCCTTGCGCCGGGCCTTGGGGCGCCCTTGGCAGGCGGCAGGCCGGAGCCTACAGCTAGGGAGCAGGTTAACTCAATCCAGAAAGAGGGCAGCTTTGATTTCTCCACCGCTTCTTTGATTGGGCCCCGCGGCATCAGTCGATGCTCTGCGATCCTGCGCTGAGAGTGCAAAAGGCGGCCTTTCCCAGGCCCTCTTTCAAATTCTCCCTCGACAACATCCACTCCGACCCGATCGTCCCCGTCGATGTGCGAATCGCAGGGAACACGGTCTTGGTCTAGACTAGGCAACGCGGTCCAACACCAGACACCGACTTCCCTTGCCACCATCCGTGCCTTTGCTCGTTTCTGTCTGTGTTTGGGGGTGGATATTAACACCGGGTCATGGATACTAATGTGGTTTCGACCCCCAAAGAGGGGGGTGGATACTAATAGGGGTTGCCTACTAATACCGGGTAAATACGGTAATTGCAACAAAATTTCATTACGTTGGATGAAGAGAACTCGACACCATAGAACAATGCGAAGTTGTAGTTGCAAGTGGGGAGAAAGCAAAATTTGATCTCATCGGCCATCTTGGATCTTGCATTTCGGTATTGCGTCTGCTGTGCTCCGCATATGATGTTAACTAATTTACTGAATCCCTACTCCAATGTCCTGTACCCGCCTCCACGTTTTATTCATATGAATTGACAAGAATGCAGACAACTGCACGAACAACAATGTGGAAGCCAAGCCTGGAAATGCTGAAATGGCTCATTAGCCATCAAGAACGACACACATCCTGCCGGCGACGGCGCTATCGGTGGCCTGGAGGGCCTTCTTTGTGGAGCCGTGGGTGGGCCCAGGCTACAGTGCGCCGTCTAGAACGACGTTGCCATGGCGGACAAAGCGAGAGAGCAGCAACTGCATGACCTGTTCAGCAAGCTGGACAAATTCCTGCAGAACGCACAGTACAAACGGGCACTTAAAAAGACTGAAGAAAGTGAGTGCGGCCGTTGACTAGGCGTCTGACCTTTCCGATCCTCCAACGCATGGAAACTCTGGTTTCTTTTGCTGCGCGTCAGCAGAACTGATGTTGGTCCGGTGATGGTAGCTGGCAGACAAATTCGCGCAGCTACAACCCAGCGCCCAATTTAGGAGGTTTCACTGAAAAACGCGCGAGTCGCAGTTTCTGCAGCTTCTTGAGACATGTTTCGGGAAGGTGCAGTCATCGGGTATGGACGTGCCCCTGGCTCTGCGAATGGAGATTGGACTTTTACCGAAGATCTTTGGGGGCCATCAGCAGTGCTGTCTGTGCCTTGGAAAGGACCTCAGAGGCCGGGCTGATTGTGATAAGTGGTGCAGAAAAGAATGCTGTGTGCAGAACAAGGTGACCAGCACCAGGAATCACTCCATACTTGCCACTTTGTGGTGATAATTGATGTGACTGTGCCACTTGCCTTGCTGCATCTTTGTACAGTACTTCAAATCTCCAAGGAGGATGAAGACGCTCTTCGATGCAAAGTGTACGCCCTCATCCAGCTGTCCCAGTTTGATGAGGCAGTCAAAGTTCTGAAGGGCAAAGTGGGCCAGCAGCTGAGTTTTGAAAAGGTGAGGCTTGTTACCGCTAGATGCCCTTGGTACTACCGGCCGGTAGTTCTGTGCAAACAAGGGGAACGAGCGGGCTTTTAGGTGGATGCCTCGCTAGTTGTGATCAACTTGGAAGCGCAGTGTGTATGTTGTTTGTCCTGTCCTTTTGACAAAGTAATCAACTCCATGAACGAACGGGGGAGGCTGCTGCTGGGTGCATTAGTCACCTGGCTTGTGAGTGGGATGCCTCTAACACCCTTGGTCTGTTGTGACACAAAAATGAACCAGTTGTGTGTGCCACACCACAAGCATGGAGTTTTCACTGTACAGGCCTCCCCTTGGGTGTGAGATCCCATTGTTGAATACACAATCTGCAGTTGTTTGGAACGGACTGACGTGCAGATGACTGCATTGTTTGCAGGCATACTGTTTATACCGCTTGGGTCATTATCAGGAGGTGAGTTCTGCCATAGACAAGAGACCCTGCAGGGCAGTTGATGAATGACCTGGACAGCATGCTCCTTGGGTTGCGTCAACCAGTGTCTTTTGCTGCTGTTGAAGGGAACCAAGGTCTGTCGTGAGGTGCTGCCAACAGCCCTGCTCTGTTGTTGATCGGTGGCATGCTGTTGTGCTCAGGCTCTTGTGACAGTTGCCAAAGTCACTGATGACAGGCGACAGGCCCGTCTTGAGCTTGAAGGACAGCTGCATTATGTCATGGGTAACCATCAGAAAGCTGTAAAAGTGTATCAGGAGCTCAGAGATAAGCTGAAGGTGCGACACCAGTGTGGGAGAAGGTTCACTCTTGCATGGACTCTGCATAGACCCATGGTTTGACCATGGCCATGTTGCATGCTTCCCACCGGCTCTATTGGGCATGTATGCCAAACAAGTCGTGGACAACTTGTGCTGGGCTGACAGTCCATTGTTCTACTTGCCCAGGCTGGGCATCAAACATGAGTTGAATGGCTCTGCTGTGGCACGTTTTGCTTTTTGTGAATCTTATGTCATCAATGTAGACAGCAGTGGTATTCTGTCAGTGTGCTCATCCAGGGACAGGGCATTTGTTGAGGGGAATGACTCATAGTATGGTTTTGTTCTCTAGGAGCCTGTAGACCCAAAAGAAAATGTCTGGCGCCATTGCCTGTACACAAACTTGCCCATGTTGGGAGGTCGTTGTGGGAAGAGGCAATGCATGCTGTTTTTGGTGGTGCAGGTAGAGTCCAGCGACATAAAGACCAACATGATTGCACCAGCTGTGGCTGGCAACATGGCTAACGAGCTCAAAGGCAACTTGTCTGCAGCAACGCCAGGTGGAGAAGGCTTTGAGCTGGCTTTCAATAAGGCGTGTGGCCTTCTGCATACAGGCGATGTGAAGGGTGCCCAGCAGCAGATTGAATTGGCACGCAGAGAAGGTCTGAGCTGAATTACTTTCCAGGGAATTCGCGGCAACTCTGTTCTGGTGTCAAGTCTCTACTCCACTGGCAAGATGAGCTTGACACTTTGGGGAGTCTCGATGTTGTGTCAGTTGTTTTTGCAGAGAGTGAATCTGCTAGATTGGCAGCAACCAACTGTTGCCGCAAGCCGATCTATGGAGGTGATGCTGCATGAATCATGATATGGGGTCACTACATTAGGTTAGAAGCCAGTTTGAGTGGCGCCACTCTGCAGTCATTCCAGAATGTGTCAGCAAATGTTTTGCCACCTGTTTGCCACAGTACTGACGCATTGCAGCAGGCCTGGCTTGTGACCTGTGCCTTTATAACCCACTATTGTGTCTCTTTGGTGTGGAATTGGTTCACAGTTTTCCAGGTGACGTGGAAGTCAATCAAAGAATGGTCCTTTATCCCAGTCAGGGGCAAAAAGCCATGGAACAATGAGCATTTGGAAACCCATGGAACAGTGGAAGATCTTGTTCTCATCACAGTTTTATATGTAGGTGCAAGCAGTGACAATTTTTCTACCCTTGTTGGAGTGCAATCTGTGGCATTGTGTTTTGGTTCTCCAGTGGTAGCTGTATAGTTAGTGCTCGTTGGTTGGTTTGATACCTCAGAAGCATGGCACACACCCCAGAGACAGTTGTCTGTTGCTGCTGATGTGCCTCGCTATGGGTGTGCAGGTGAGGAGAGCCTGTACAGTTATGACTATACAGAAGAGCAGGTTGAAGCTGAGCTGCTTCCTGTGAGTGTCCAGCTGGGGTATGTGTCCAGCTTGCTGGGGGACCACAAGGCAGCTGTGGAAGCATACACCCGGGCACTGGGTGTCAAGGGTGGTGATGCTTCCTCACGAACAGTTGCAGAAAACAACATGCTCTCTGAGACCAGCAGGTCACAGCCAGAGCAGCCACAGAGGAAGTTTACAGCACCTGCCCTGAAAAAGCTGGAGACCTCAAGCGAAGGCGTGAGTGGCTGCCGTGGAAATGCTTTGTTCTGGTGTCGATTCGACCTGTCAATGATGGCCTGCTCCTACCTGAGCACATGCGTATGTTGTGGGACAGACGGGATAGTCCAGTATTGTGTCATGTGAAAATGGACTGCAAGTAGTTGTGTATGCGTTTTTGTGCGTGGCTGGCTTGTCGATTCTGACAGAACCTATTTGACTCTGTACCCAACAATAGTGAATCTGGTACCAAACTGCCACCGTACCAAATAAAATTGAAACTAGCACGAAATAATATTGAATCTGGTACCAAACTGCCAACATACCAAATAAAATTGAAACTAGTACCAGCACATGTTGAATCTGGTACCAAATTCGTGCCAGTACCAAAAATGTTGAACGGTGCAACCAAAAATGTTGAACCAGTACCAATTAGTCACCAAATCGCTGCCGCCATAAGGGCTCATAAACCCTAAACCCTAAACCTAAACCAAGCCCAAGCCCAATGCTGGTCGCAGGGCTGGTCGCAGACTGCCCATCGTTTACTAATATGTTGGTTCAACATTTTTGTTTACAGCATTCAGCATTTTTGGTACTGGCGCGAATTTGGTACCAGATTCAACATGCATTGGTACTAGTTTCAATTTTATTTGGTACGTCTGCAGTTTGGTGCCAGATTCAGTATTATTTGGTGCTAGTTTCAATTTTATTTGGTACGATGGTAGTCTGGTACCAGAATCAATGTTATTTGATACAGAGTCAAATATACGCGGATTTGGGACTAATACTGCTAGTAATATGTGCTCCTCTCTATACTTGTGACAACTCGTTCATTAACTTTGTTACAGTGGTATTCCACAATTGTTGCAGAGTGTACAACGTGGATGCTGTTGTGGAAGTAGCACTCTGCTGAAATGCCTTTTTGCTTTGTACACAAGGGTGGGGGTGGGGTGACCAGATGTCACTGCCCTGATGTTGCACCAGTGAACTTATGATTCGACTATGGCTATCAGCTTGATCAGAGGTTGACAACGGGCTCATTCTTGCATGTGCATGAATGACGTTTTGGTGACATGCTCCTGGGGACTATACAAATGTACTGATGCCACTAGGCCATGCTGCTATTGTCCATGTTCCAAACCCAGCAAGCTAATAACAGTCCCTGAACCGAAGATTGTGCCTTTCTTTTGTGCAAAAGGTTGAACCATTCCTTTGTTTCAAATCTGTTTATGAATGCCCAGGAATGGACAATGCAGAAAGCAGTAGTTTGTGGGCATGACTGTGGCAAATACATACTTTCTCACGTGCGTGGCAGACGTGGTGAGCTGTTCAATTTGGACATTCTGAAGATGTCTTTCTCCTGAGCAGACATGGCCCTGGTGCCTGTGAATGCCTCCTGTTGCTGAGAGAACATTAAAGGGGGCACTGAACTGTGTGACAGCAAACTGGGCACAACTGGTGAGCCCAGTGGCAACGATGATAGACAGGAACAGCACGATGCTGGTGCCCATTGCATTTTATACAACATGGTGCAATGGCAGCAATATGCTGCCACATTCTTGAAGTGGTGCCTGTGGAATAAAATTGTGTTTGTGCACGCATGCAGATTGCCGGTGACAGACTGTCTTCCATACAAAGGTGCACAATTCTTTGCAATCGTGCCATTCTGTACATAAAAACTGGCCGTGCAGAACAGGCCAAAGGTGTGATTGCATCGCTTGCCAAGGACTACCCCGACTCTGAGATTGTGAATATCCTGAAAGCGACAGTTCTGGCAAGAGACAAAAAGGTTTGTTGCAGCCAGTGTTTGCTTTTTGTGAAATTACACTCCCACCATGATGTTGTTTTACTTGGGAGGGGTAAAGGTAGATATGACAGGGTAAAGAAGACATGTCACGAAATTCTCCCTGACAGGGCCTGTAGAATGGAGAATTTCTGTTGGCAGGTGGTGCATTGTGCACAACCTTGTACTGTGGTGTATCCACATGTTCCTTATGACCTGGCTTGTGGGAAGGCAATCCTGTACACACTGGCTACAGATTTCTGGACAAGTGAGTTCTTCAGCTGACTCTGCAATGCAGCCTGACAATGACACTAAGGCTGCTCTGTCCTGCTGTGATTTAGATATCAGAAGCTCATGATCTGTTGAAGAATTGCACTCTTCTGGGCAACAGATCTACGCTCGATCCTCTGCTCATGCGTGTGCAACTGCTGGCAGCAAATGGTCTGTCAGGTCAGGCTGCCAACCTGATAGATGAGGTTCCAACTGAAAGTACTAGGAATCAGGGTGCTATTGTGGCCACACATGCGGCACTACTGGAGAGGGTAAGATCCTGCAAGGGAGTAGGTGCATTGCTCCAAGTTTGTTATCACATGTTTTGTTTTCATTTTTGTTGGCATTGCGCATTGAAAGGTGCAGTGCCAACACTGTGCTGGTTGTGATGTGGGGTGTGGCCACTTTCCACTCAAAGAAACCCAGGATTATGCCCAGATCATTCAAAGGATAGCATTGCCTGTGAGTGAGTGAGTACCTGTCGCGCAATCCCTCAATCATCTGCAACTGTGCAAACTCTGTGCGACAGCTCTGCTGTACCTGTATCCACTGCAGCACAATGCAGCGTGGAGTGTGGCTGCGAAAGGACTAGCAGATCTCTGTGTGTGATGCTGCCAGCATGCAACCCTGCTCCAAAACTGTAAGGGACAGATACCATGGCAGTAGCTGATCCGCATAAGTGCAGATTCCTTGCTCTGGATGCGGTGCCAGCATCATGTGGACAATCTGGCAATAACATCCCGGGGGGGCGGGGGGAAGGCCATGCAGCACACGATGGAACTTTTCAATGTGCTTGTAGTACAAAATGGGATCTGCGAGAGGCCAAATTTGTTCACGCATTTTCTATCTCAAGAGCATGCTGCCAAGAATGTCTGACATCTACTTGCTGTATGTCAGATTAAGGTGCATGGGGTTGCCTGGCTGAGTGATGGACGCTGGATCTCTGAGTCTGAACTGTTCGTTGCCCAAAGGACTCTTGACAAGGCTTGTTGTAGTCTGCTGCTGAATTTGATGTGCTATCTGAAATCTTGCCAGGCATGTCAACAGGACCTTGACAACTGAACTGCTCTGTACACCATCAATGACAACTTGTGCGTCCGCAAATTGTGGTCTAAGAGCATTTTTCTTGGTGCTATTGCTGTGGTGGTGCTATCTGGTCATCTGAATGGCACCGCATGTCAAAACAGCCATCACTAATGGTTGGGGGAGCAATGGCACCCCGATGCTATTCGGCCCAGAGCAGTGGTATCTGGGCACTGAGCAGCACTGCTCGAGCTCAAATACCACCCCAGGACAGCACCTGGTGCTATTGGTGCAGAACAATGCAGTGGTGCCCTGACACTATTCGGCCATAGTTTCCTTGCCAATAGCACCCTAACATTACGGATCCACGCATGGGAGCAGTACCACCAGTACCATTTAGCAAATGTCATCTTTGCAAAGCAGTATGGCAGCCAATGAGAACCGTTCCTGTATAGCACCGCCAGTGCAATAGCACCGACCAGTAAAAATGCTCTAATATCCCCCACATGATGCTGTGATGCACTGGCAGTCTCTGCTAAGCACCCATTTTTCTGTGGCAAGCACTGTGTCAGGGCCTGTGCGATGGTGGTCAAGGATAGAAATGTCACAGGCAGGGCACCAGTTGGGCATGACTTGCAGTTTCATCCATATCCAAACCTGTTTGTCCCATGTACTGTATATCGAAAGCATGTTGGAGGTTGCTACAGGGTTTGAGGGCTGTCACTGTGATAAGCTCCTTTGCCGTCATTGATTGATGTGTTTTCTGGTGGACTCAGTCTGGCGACCAAGCCCTGTGTGAAGATCTTGTGTCAAAAGCCCTGACCTGGTGGAATAACCAGGATGCCTCGGATGGAACGAGCAGAGCACGGTCTACCAGTGCTGCCTGGTGCTTGGACTATCTGGCCAGGCTAAAGCTCAAGTCCGGGAGCATTGAGGAAGCAGTAAAGTTGTACCAGGAGGTACTGGTTAAAGAGTTGGAGGAGGTGCAGCGAGCTGAGGTATGCCACTGGCTGGCTGGCTAATGGCACACTACTGGTGGCACACCCTTTTGCCACCTAACAGCCTCCTTCACAGCACTATGGGATCACAGGCAGCATTGGTACTCACAAGGAGCCTGAGACACAAAGAACCCACTTCATGGCTGCTTCCTAGATGAGGGGAATCCACTCCACGAAGTGTTGTGCCTTTGGGAGGAATCACGGCAACTATTGTATTGTCAAGTCAGGCAGTTAATGGAGAAAGGTAACCCAAAACATGTGCTCTCAAGGGTGTGAACATTGTGTACTTTTTTACAATGTGACTTTGGGCGAACTTTGGGCAGTGTGAAGGTGGTTGCAACAATGTTGCCACAGGTCATGTCCAAGGTTTCCCGTGTGCTGGCTATAACTGACCCATGCACCAATGCTACTCTGGAGTCTGGTCTGCCTGGCGTCCCTAAGACAGGTCCTGATGATGTGGACAAATTGGAATCTGGCGTGAAGGGCACCAGTGGGGAACGAAGGGGGGAGGAGTTGAAGAAACGTGCAAATGAGGGAGATGATGCTGACAAGGTATTTGATTTCCAACACCCTTTGTAGTATCTGCCTTCAACAAAGCTGTGGAAAGCTGACCTTCTGCAGGTTCAACACACAAATGTTCAGCTGCGTATATGCGCTGTTCTGACAACTGAATAAATGTACGATGAGTCCAGCACCTATGCTGCCACAGGTGAAGATCCACACGCTGCTGCATGCAGCTGTCAGTGTGCTGGCCAGCAGATGTGTTCCAAATGAAAATTTCCCTTGTCTGTGGCCACAAGTTCAATGTTCCACTTGCTGTCACTGTTCATGAACCAAGGCTGCAAGTATGTGGTTGTGCAGCTAGTGGACAGCATGCTTGGGATCATTTCAGTTGTGCGATTGCTTCTGGTTGTAGCCAAAGAAGAGGAGGAAGAGGAAGATTCGTTTGCCCAAAAACTTCGATCCTCAAAACCCTGGGCCAATGCCAGATCCTGAGCGCTGGCTACCTAAGTGGCAAAGGGCTGGCTACAAGAAACGTCGGCGCAGGAGAGAGGACCACATGAAGGGCAGCCAGGTAGATGGCGGCAATGTGACTTGGACCTGCACAGGGCTTGCCTGTGCTGCAGAAGTTGCGTGCTGCTTGGAATGTGGAAAACGAGGTACAAGAGAGAAGATAAGGCACCACCGGATCTTTGCTTGCAAGATGGCGACATGGTGTAGTGGTTAATGCGAGCTGCATGGTTTTAGTTACACGTCCAAATCCTCACACTCTGTTGTCCTTGTGGTTCTTTGTTGCCACCTTTCAATCCACACCAGGCTAATCAGCTGTCTGTGTTCGTTGGCACAACCATTGGTGGTCGTTCACCCGCCTCTCTAGCACCATGCGATTTAGTCAGGACCTCGACCTGACAATGCAGGTTGTCAGTCGACCAGATGATGCAAGGGGTGCTCTTGCAAACTGCTGAACATTTCTGCTGCTTATCTTTGAGGAAAAGAAAACCCCCTTTGATAGTTTTACATGGATGCGCTTGTGCAGTTGCTTGCCAGAGTGCTCAACACTTTTTGCGCTGCAAAACAGGGAGCTGGGAAAGTGGACGACACGCTGGATCGAGCAAGGCAGCAGCCAGAGCCAAGCACTTCATCGCGTTCACAGCCACGACAGCCTCCTCGGCCAGCAGGTGGCAGGCGTCGGGGTGGAAGGCGCAGCTAGAATGCCAGCAACATGCAAAATAGATTGCTTGGCTGGCGCACCCTCGTTTCCACCCGGGCCAGGGGCAAGAGCATGCATTGTCCTCCAAATGTTGGTTCCATGCAGTTGTAAAACAGGCAGTTGCTGAACAGCTATGTCCACACAATTGGATGCTATTCGAGGAGCTTGTGTGCTGGACTATGCCTGTTGCCAATAGGGTATCACACTTGCGAGCTTGCTGTTCTATCCTGTTTGAATGATCACACAATGACAAGCAATTTGGAAACAAGCCTTGTTCTGCTGTTGTCCTGACTTGCACCACTCTTGCTTGCACTCAGTTGCCGTTCAAACACCACCACACGTCTCCTCACAGTCCACACTGAAATGGGGGAGCCGCAACGGAAGCAGCCAATGTTTCAGTACACGCTGTTGTGCGAGTCTGGGTTTTGGCTACATACATGTGTAAAATACACATTGCCCGCGCAACCATGCTCGCTCGAGTAGTGCACATGTGCGCACACACAACTTTGCTGCAATTCGTGTGCCAAATCGCAGGAGGAAGCTTGCAAGGTTGGCACCCTACACCCCAAACCACCCACCCACAACTACTTTCTTACGAGCAAGAGCGAGTGCCAAAGCTGCGCTCCAAGCCGCCTGCCCCAAGGGTGCCAGCACACCTTTCTGAGGTGAAAGGTCACACCAATCGACCCATTGGGTCGATCGCCACAAACAGAATTTGGCCTTCCCCTGCGCCCCCACCCCACCCCATCCACACCACCAACCCCCAATGCCACTCGCTTCCAATCGACGGCCAAGGAGGCACCTCAAAGCGCTGCAATGAGGCTGCCAAGCCTCTTGAGTGAGCGACCACAGAGATCGACCCGTTGGGTCAATTGCCGCGGATGCAATGTTCAAATTCAAACACGCCCCCCCTGCCGGCTCGCCCCCCCCCACCCCACCCCACACACCCCAAACCACGCCGCTCGTTCCAGTCTATGGCCAAGATTCACTCTAGAGCGGCTGCCCAGCTTGCTCGAGATGAAAATCGCAGCGAGCGACCAGTTGCATTGATCGCCATGAATAGATTTGTTCGAAGTGGCCGCCCCTCAACCACTACATCCCGCCCTGATTACCCCTCCAAGACGCGACTTGAGCCAAGGCCGTACGCGATGGCAATGCCACCGTCGATCACTCGCCCAAGCCCCTCCTGGCTCACGTAGCCCGCTGATCCTCCCTCCCTTCCCCGTCCGTGGTCAAGGGTATGCACGGGGGCTGTCGCGGGTCTCTCCACCCATGCCTTGTAACGCAGATGCCGTTGCGGCTGCATGCTTAACGCAAAAAAGTGACCACGTGCACACGGCGCATGGCACCAGAGGTGTCCTGGATCCCCCCTCCCCCCCTTAGTCATGCCTAATCCCAATAGACCCCGTGCCCAGCCAAGGAAATCCGGGGGAAGCCGGCAGGAGTCTGGTTGGCGCCCATGCCGCGCCGCGCCAGTGCTCCACGCGCTAGTGTAGGAAGCCCGGGCATGGGCGTGAGTGTGCGATCGGCGCCCATGCCGCTAACCGCACCACACGCGCGCCGCGAGAGGCGCAAGGAAGTCGGGGAGTGTGTGAGTGGGCGGTCGGTGCGCATGCCGACCGCCGCGCGATGCGCAAGGAAGTCCAGGGAGGGGCGTGAGTGGGCGGTCGGCGCACATGCCGCGCACCGCGCTAGGGGCAAGGAAGCCAGGGAGGGGCAGCGTGTGGCCATTTGGCGTCCATGCCATGCGCCACCCGCGCACGGCGTGCGGTGCCAGGAAGCCCGTGGAGGGGGCGGTGCGTGCACGGCGAGCGGTCGGCGCCATGCAGTCGGCGGCGTGCGGTCGACGGCATGCGGTCAGCGGCCGGCAGTCAGCCAAAATCGTGATTTTGCTCTATAAAACTCCGCTCACTTCGCTCGCTCGCAATCATGTCCTTAGTATCAGGCACCCAACGTCAGCTAGTAGGCAGGACCGATCCCGTGTTGTCAATAGAAAAGCCTGTTTGTTGGCTGATGCAGAAGGGTACAATTTGAGATGGCGATCATTGCCATGATGGCGATCATTACCATGATGGCGACCATTGCCATGATGGCGATCATTACCATGATGGCGATCGGGAAGTTCAGGATTAGTTGTTGATGTTTTTTTGCGGCAGCTCATGTGCGCACCATTGAATTGGGCAGAACATGGGTTGGCTCGAATAACTCCTCACATCAGTTCATTGTGCGATGGAGCAGGGCAATGAGTCTGCTGTCCCATAGAGGTGGCCACTCAAGGGTGCCATCCGGTCCGTTAAATCCGGTTCGTTAATTTTTATCAGCTGTCCGTTAAATTTCGTTGAAGAAAAAGGGAGAAAAATTCAGAAAAAAACGAAAAAAATCCAAAAAAATCGAAAAAAAACCCAAAAAAACACAACAACTGCGGCTAGTTGAAAATCTAGTATGCATAGGTTGAAATAAAATACAAACATACTCTCTAATAGCGAATTCCATAAACTATAAGTATGACTAAAACCCAAAAATCCCCAAAAAATCCAAAAATCCGCTAATTTTTTGTTAATTTTTGTCTTTTTTCGTTATTTTCCGTTAATTAACGGAAAATTAACGGAAATTAACCTCTGTCCGCTATTAACGGATCCGGGTGGCCACCTCTACTGTCCCATCGGACTAAGCCTTCAATGTTGCCTGCGGTGCGCTACAATTTAGATTTTGTAGAAGGTCGAAAATGGCCTCCCTGGATCACTTGAAGCACCCCCAGAGGGGCACAGCCAGGATCTACATTCAATCAAATGAGAAATTTGGGTACAATCCTCTGTGTCATTCCGTACCATGCCAACCCCAAAGACGATTTGGGTCCTGCAATCAACATCGTTGTCTCCTGCCTTGAGACTCTACAACCATCGCGCATCCTCTGGATATGGGCTCCCATATCCCTAGATGCTGTGAGGATATGGGCGAGGATATGGCCATATACCAGGATATGCAAGCTCATATTCTGCGATATGGCCATATCCTGGATATGTATATTCAGGATATGCAACTTTTTTTCTGATACCATCCACTAAGACGCCATTCCACCATTGCATCCACAGCAACGGCCTGCTTATCGCATTTTTCACTGCCCGGAATCTATCCAAGAATACAGTATTGTAACGCAACGTTTGGCCTTTTCATGCGGAGCAATAAGGAAAACGTAGCGGTGCCATGAGAATCTGGAGCAGCCCCAGCCACGACGTGAGGGTCTCTTGATTGTTCGTGGTGTCTAGCAGCTTCAACTGCACGAGTCACTATGGCAGAAAACTGGCATTTGAGGATAGGTACACTGTGTGAAGCTGCCATTCCGGTTGTGGCCATTTTGGGTTGACCGACGTTCTCACATGCTTGCGCACACCGTGCGCCGCACGGTTGCTCCCAGGCACGGGAAGTGAAGTTGTAACCATAAGCCATAGAATACATTACAAGACAAGTATGTCAACCAAATAGTGTTGGCAGGAAAATGTTTCCAGTTAGCCAATCACCATCCCCCATACTGGCTATGGTTCTACCACCACATTCACCATGTTTAAGCATACCATATTTCACCTCATTCTCCCATAACTACTCTTCATAATTTCCTCACCCTCACAACCATGATGCAGAGCCCCCCCAAATAACGGTTTATCAAAAAATTTGGAGTGTCGCGACATGCTGGCCTGACGCCCATGCATCTTGTGCACAATCATTTCAAAAAAGTTTTGCCTGTCTCTTGCCTAAATTTGCGAACAAAATGGAGAACAGCATCAAGGATGCCTCGCCACTTTGCATGCATGGTGCTAGTGATTCAACCCCCCGAATCTAGCCAAAAACACCCATGGGCTTTGCACATTCAGGCACATGCAAACCAAACGGGTATGGGCAGAAGCGCTGACCAAAAACGTAGCCATTCACAGAGATTCACTCAATAAACCATGCATTTGGAAACAAAACCACTAGCTTCAAAGCCGGACTGGTCGGGTTACACGCTACGACCTATCCGCAATGGTGACACATTTAGAGAACACCAACGAGATGCTTACAACTTCACAAACGGTTGTTCATTCTGCTGCATCACCTCCAGAATCGGGCAACACGACCTTGTGGCGTTGTACATATTGTGGCAGCACCCAAATTAGCCCCTCGAGACACCGTTCATGCCAGCGCATCAACGTATTTTGATCATTAAAACGTCACATCAACTCTGGCATTTCACATCAGATACCCTCCCAGCTCGTCCTATCCCCGAAATGGTGCCCTGCTTTAAGAGCTATTACCATCCGCTCACATAATCCTTATGCAAATATTCCATCCATCCCACATAACACGCAGCCCAAGTTGCATAAAAATGCCACTTCCACCCTCTACCCTTTGACACATCAGATTCGATTGAAAAACTACCGCACTTCGAACAACTGCCACCATGACAATTCGAGCAACTTGATGTCACTCACCCAACGCATTCATGGCCTTTCTATCTATGTCTGTGCATGGCAGTACACATACCACCTCTGATGTGTTGGATAGCCATTACGTGTGACTGCTGGCTATACAGTAGCTGAGTCATGGCCACATGTTTTCTCGCTCTTCAAAGAAGAGAACTAATCCAGAGACCAAAGCTGAAAGCACTCAAGGGCAGGAAACAACCCACAAAGATGCCAGCTAGAAGAGCACATGCCACTTGATATTGAACCATGCTACATATTGGGCCAGAATGCAAATCAAAAGAAGTCCTAGGCAAGGCGCTAACACTTTCTCCCCTCTCTGCATGCTCCCTCCGTACACGCTCAACCTCCCACAGAAAGGTAAGGCGCCCCTTCAAGGTTGCAACCTCCCTTGCCAACCTTGCCAAAGGGAGGTTATCCTTTGGCATCAATGATGCCAACTTCCGATAAGCACTTGCAATGATTCTTTGCCCCAAACGTGCATTGTGAATAGAAATGTCAAAAGCGAGCAGAACCGTGTTCACAAGCACTGTTGTCGTAAAC